TCATTTTTTACGAAAGCCCGGTTGCATCAGGACCTAACCCAGGAGCTTCTGATCTGCAGGTGAGCATTCAGCTGATACACCATGGCGACTCCCATTTTAGGGCATGATCTTCAGCAAATATCAGCTCATTTGTATCCTATTCATTGGGGTTTGCTTCGTTGCCTATCTTATCCATATAGATAATAAATAAAAATGGTGATAGTGTACAGCCTCATCGTACCTCAGATGAAACTTGGAACCAGTTTGTCGTGCCTACAGTTGTTCTGACAGCATATTCAGCTCTGTGATAAATAGCTTTGATATTGTCTAACAATTGTCGATTTCATGTTATTGTTAAAAATAATTGTAAATCTGTTGCCTGTGCGTGCGCGCACACGTGTGTGAGAGATCTCGCATCTTTTTAAAAAAAAATAATTAACTAACAAAATATAAAGAGCTGAAATCATTAAAATAATTCAGAAACATAGTGAATACACACGCACACACACACATACTGATTGTCCAAAAATATTGTAAAATAGTTTTTCTATGTTTATAAATAAGTAATAAATGTACATTATTTTTATATATCTATATATGTACATATATACTATTAAGAAAATGGCAACAGTTAAAATCACATAATGTGTAAATAGGCAGTGGGTAACCACATAAAATGGATCACATCTTTGCAATTTGATAACACAGTACAAGTAAATCCTCAAATTATAGTTCACAGAGTTAAGCCTTTAAGATAATAACATACTTAAACATGATATACATCATTTCACGTGTATCTACATTTATCTGAAACATTTAAATGCTTTTCATTCTTCTTCTTCTTCTTCGCTTCCTCTTTTACCGCTGTGGGTGTCGAGGGAGATATAATAAGGTTTTGTTTCTAGCTCTTCTGGCTGCCTTCACCATAGGCACATCGTACTGTTGTAGAGTTTCTCTGATGTTATCCTTCCATCTTGTTCTTGGTCTACCCCGTGCTCTACGTCCTTCTTCTCTTCCCATGTATGCTTTGTATGGTATGGTGTCACAAGGCATTCTCTCTAAGTGGGCAAACCATTTCACTTGCTGTCTTTGTATGTAATCCAGAATTGGTTCTGTGCCGAGGTGTTCTCTTATGATCTCATTTCTGATCTTATCTCTTATGGTCACTCCTACAGCCCTTCTCAGACATCTCATTTCCGTGGTTACTAATTTTCTTTTATGGTTTGTTGTGAGTGACCATGTCTGGCACTGGTAGCACAGAGTTGGAATAAATATGCTTTGAATAAGATGTCTCTTTGTGCTGATTGGGATTGTCTTATGCTGTAAGAGGGGGGCTAGCTGTCCCAATACTTGGTTTGCTTTGCTGCATCTAATGTCAATTTCTTTATCCAATTTCCCATCTTCGGTAAATGTAGTTCCCAGATATTTAAACTCAGATGCCTGTTTAATGCCTTTGTATTCTATTGTTATGTTTAGATCTGTCTTCTTTTTTCCTATTGACATTACTTCTGTCTTTTCAGTGTTGATTCTCATATTATTTGTTTTACATTCTTCATTCATGGATGTTAGATGTTGTTGCAATTTCATGGCTGTATCTGCTATCAAGGCCTGGTCATCTGCAAAGAGTAATTCGTTGATCTTACTAAGATCTTCATTCATGGGCTTGGCATTCTTGCATATATTGTCGATGTAGGTGATAAACAGCAGTGGTGATAAGACATACCCCTGTCTTACTCCAGATGTCACTGTGAAAGGATGAGATGTTCCCTGATTTATTCTAACTACACTTCTACAATCCCTGTATAAACTTTTGCACACTTCGATGAGGTGTTCGCTTACTCCATATCTTGCCATTATTTTCCATAATAATTGTCTGTCGACTCTGTCAAATGCTTTTCATTAGCGACGGAAAATTAAGTAAAAGACCCTTTTCCTGCCAGCGGCGCACAGCACGTATGATGCCAGACCCATACATTTAGAGACTAATCAGCAATCAATTTAGGTTGGGTTGTTCTACTTGTCAAAGCCACTTAAAAACCAAAAATCCAGACTCGATACGGATTCAAATCCGAGACCTTGGGGTCAGCAGGTGAGCGTTTAGCCACCAGGCCACCGGGCTCCTGAAAAGATTTTCATTACCCACACACAAATGATCGAATCTTTTCATTCTGGTAAGATAGCCTAAAAGGAAAGCAGTTTGGATAAGGCTAGTACTAAACTATACCAGGAGACAACAGACCAAATGGTTTCGGTATGTGTCGAGACTACCACCAGATAGCAAACAACTAAGAATCCTATCACTCAGACACAATGGAAGCAAGAGCCAGAGGTTGACCAAGCAAGACAGAATATCCTAGGCCGTAAATACCAGCATCTACATATCACATACCAAAGTTTGCACAAAATTGCACAGAAATATCTCTTCAAAACCTGACGTCAAGAGGCAGAATTGAACTAGAGACGAAGAACACAATCCGCATATTTCCTCAAACTACAGTTTACCAAGTTAAGCCTAAAGCTGATACATGCACAGACATATATATATATATATATATATATATATATATATATAATATATATATATATATATATATATATATATATAAATGCTGTTTTTCCTTGTATAAAGTAGAAAAAAAAAAAGAAAAAGGAAAATAGGAGTCATATGCTGATGGAGATGGAGAACCTACAGGTTTGTCATTAGAGCTATGTCAATCTAATGACAACTGATTAGGTGGAACAGAGGAAAATGACAACTCCTTCCCATGGTTAAAATGTAGGGTTGATTTCATTCCATGAGTTATAATGACACAGGCTATATGGTAAGCAAAACCATAGCACGGTGATCTGCTGCCAAATCCCCTGTAGCTGAGATTGGATCGGCAATCCAGAATTACAAAGCGTGTTTGCAACAATTAAGTCACAGACACCAAGTGTATATGTAGTCCCCGTGAGGGTCTTTTCATGAAATGTGATAGTTGACTATAACTCCCTTACGGTTGACTGGATGTAGGAGACGATCTGTACAGCTCATCTCAATAATCTAATGAGTATAACCAGGTACTTAATGCATGCCTCCTTGTATCAAAAAAATTCAACAAGCTGGTATCAATCTCTTAATATAGCCATAGAAACTAATCCCTCAACAGCCTGACTAGTCAGACACAGAGCAAAGCTGTATGCAAGTAATACAGTGAGCAGGAAAAATGGATAAACATCCATGAATAGTATATATCCATTTTCAGCCTCACTGTCTCATCAACAGTGATTGTAACTGATTCAGAAAGCATGCTGAGAAAGATCAGAACAGGTATGCTTCGTGCAGAGTGACATGCTTCGCTGCGGAGGACACGGGTGAGGAGTATTGTCTGGATTTTTTCACCCGGGTACGCTGGTGTGTTGGGAAATGAACAGTCGGACGGACTGGCTGGCTCTGCACAACTTGGTGGAATACTGATACATGATAAGGCAGACGTGGTTAGTGCCTTGTGGGAGAGGGTGTACAGTTCAGAGAAGCAGATGGATCACCACAGTCTGGTGAGATTAATGCAGCGGGAAGTGACGAGAGGTTCTGGCAGATGCTTGAGGCTCAGGGGAAAGGCAAGACGGACGTTTAATCAGAATGCTACTGGCACCATTAGTATTGGAACTCTTTGCTGGCTGCTGAAGATGGGGACGGAGCGCTTATGGGAATGCCCTGAGTGCTGTGATGTCGGTTCTTGAATCAAATCAAATCAACAGTGAATCAGATAGTTTATGAATTAATTAACAGTAGTGGTCTGTGTTGCGGGTATGGATTAATTAACAGTAGTGGTCTGTGTTGCGGGTATGGATTAATTAACAGTAGTGGTCTGTGTTGCGGGTATGGATTAATTAACAGTAGTGGTCTGTGTTGCGGGTATGGATTAATTAACAGTAGTGGTCTGTGTTGCGGGTATGGATTAATTAACAGTAGTGGTCTGTGTTGCAGATATAAATTAATTAACAGTAGTGGTCTGTGTTGCGGATATGGATTAATTTTAGTAAATGCTACTGCTGATATATAAATATCGTACCATTAAGAGTGCCATAGTGCACTTTATTCTACAAAATTATGGCAATTATTAACTGCAAACTGTACATTATTTACAACAACAAAAACCACTTATACATGCAATTATTGTTTTCCATAAAGCCAAAGCTTTTTTCTAGAAAATATGGCAGGTACTCACGACAAAGTCTTTACACACACAAAAATGCCGATATTCCCAGCAAAGTGTCGAAAAAGGTGCGGGTACTCATGATAATGTGTCTTTTACAGTAGCGCTGAAAGAAATATGCCTAGAAAAACAAAAGGAGCCAGTACTGCGTACATTGCGTACCACACACACACACACGCACAAAAACCCTAACTAAAGCAATCACTATTTCCATAATAATTAACCTTTGTTCTGTTCAGTATAGTTTTACTTAGGTTACGTAACTACACTAAGGAGTTTAAGTACCTAGGCAGTGTGTTCACAGAGAATGAAGGATTGTGTTCAGGTCATGCAGAATGTCAACGGTTCTCTTCTTCTTTGTCCACAGTTTGCTCAGAATTGTTCTGTAGCATTTCAGTTCAAAAGCTCAGATTTTAACACATCATCATTAGTGAAATAAAAAGAGTAATGACAATGAAGATGTCTGGAAAGAAATTAACTAATGAATGGAACTGATTACCTACATCAGTAGCAATCTATATTCTTTGGTCTGAGAATGAGCTGGTGAAAACTAGAGTATGCCATGACAATAGGAAGACTTGAATGGAAAAAACACAGAGGAAAAACAAGAGAAAAGATGCTAGACGTGGAGGATCATCTGTGTAAAAAAAAAAAAAATCACTTAAAGTACATGAGACAGAAGGTTGCAGAAAGACCTGACTACCAATGTCAGTTGGCATGGGATATTGAAAGAAAAAGCTCTACTGATTACTTTTTTAAGGATTCACTGAAAAGAATATTCCAAATATCACTTCAATCCACAAGAACCATGACTACTTTGATCTAAAACTCAGTATGAAAGATTCTTCTATACATACTTAAGCTGATAGGACTTAGCCCCTTTTCAAGACATTCATGTTTAAACATCTCATGCATTTTCGTTATATTCAGACCACGTTCTAAGCATTTCTTCTTTGAATTTTTCTTCGAACCACTTGAAGACGCTGCTAGCATTGCATTAATATGTTGCCTGGCTGGTTCTAACAGCATATCAGGAATCTTATTGTGGGGTTTTCCTCTTTTTTCCTTTCCCACATAACAGCCAAACTGCTTGTTTCGCAAAGCGTGAGTAATGAATGTTTTGCCAACTGCCAGAGTAGCACAGAAAAACTTGGAACAAACTTGCTTTCTAGTATTATCTGTATCTGGTAGAAAATATTTGCGGCAAACTTTTCTTTTGTTCTCTGTTGTTCCTTCTTTTTTGTTGCAGCCATTAACTTTTGTGGCCGACTCTTGTACATTCTGACACACAAACTGCTTCTGGCTCTCGTTAGAGCCAAGGTTGTAAAAGACATCAAACAGCTGCTGCCTTAGATCTTCACTGAAACTTTCATGACACTTAAAGCTGCAGTTGGAACAGTCCACTTCTTCTACTCTTTTGGCCGGGATCAGATTACCAGTCCTGCTCACATGCTCTTCCCCTTTCAACTTTTTGCTTTTTGTTAAATTCTTCTTCCACATTTCAGGACATCGAACTCTTTTCTTCCCACTTCCAGAAACACATTTTAACTTGGCTGCTTTCGGCCGTGATTTGGTCTGTGTAATCGGTAAAATGTTAGATGGGAAAACATCACCTGAAAGCGACCATGGATAAGAAGGCATTTGTGCAGTTAAGTCAAAAGATGGTAAGTCCCCCACTTGAGTAAAAGGAGGCGAGGTGACTGCTGAAGCTGCAGGAGCCGGAGGAGGTGCTGTGAATGTATAAGGAATCGATGACGAGTAATGGAATGCAGATGTTGAAGGCATATCAGAAATCAGAGGTGGTGGGGCTATCGTAGTCTCTGCTCCTGTTAAAATATGATATGGCCTTTCTGGAATGTTCCTGATTTCTCTAGAACCAGAAGAGGGATGTGAAACTGCTATGCCTCCTGAAGGAATTGCTTCTGCTGCTGTGCTGAGGCTGCTGGGTAAAGGGAATGGCCTTGCTGTAATTTCCCTGGAAACATTTACACTGGACAATCTGTTTGGATTAGCAGAGATGCTGTCTGAGCCAGCATTGGAGATTAGATACTGCCTGCTTTGTTCTACTCTTGCTGGACCAGAAACTGTGGAAAATGCCCTTGCAGAAGTTTGAGAAGTGTCTGGTATGGGCTCAGCTGCATATGGTTCAGAGTTGACATTTGAAGGACTCAAGATGGCTGAATTTGTACAGGTGACTGGGGCATATGGTTGGCCAATAGGACCTTGTCTGTGATCAGCATAATGGCTGTCGAGATTACCATTATTTTCATAATCATAGAACCAGACAGGATGTTGTTGCAACTGATCTGTGGATAGCATTTGTTGAAAATGCATCATTTTGTGAACAATAATTTACAACTAGAAATATTTCTTGCTAAATGTCATAGCTAGCAGAGTCACTAGAAATCTACTAACTTCGGTTAAAGAGTGTCTCTGTTCGTTTACAGAAAGTCACTTATTACAGTTACTGAGTGTCATAGTTCATTCAGAAATTCATTTGATAGTTCAGCTGCTCAGTGTCAAAGTTCATTCATAAAAGTTCACCTAATGTAGCTGCTGACTGTCACAGTTCAGTTGCTGAGTGCCATCATAGTTCATTCACAGAAATTAACTTGACAGTTCAGTTGCTGCATATCATAGTTCAGTTGCTAAGTGTCATTGCTCAGTTGCTGAGTGTCATAATACAATTGCTGAGTGTCATAGTTCACTCATATAAATTCTCAGAATACAGCTACTGAATGTCACAGTTAGTTGCTGAGTGTCACAGTTCATTCACATAAATTCACTACATAGTACAGACACTGAATGGTATAGCTCATTCATAGAAATTCGTTAAATGAACTATACTTTCTTTTTTTTTCTCCAGTTAAATTTGGTACGACACTGAAATAGTAGTTAAGTCAAACATATTTTTTGTTAAAAATAACCAATATTTTGAGAAATTGATGACCATAGAGCACTTGAGACAAATCAAAAGACAAAGACCACTATTACAGTTGAGTCTGGTTGGTAGAGGCAGCCCTTGTGCCAGACCATTAGACACTAAGCTTTTCTAAAGGACTCCACTTAAAAGTCAGTACTACACTCCTCAAATCAGTAAAGCATCCCAAATTGAAGAGGACAATAAGTGTAATGAATTCTTTGCTGACGACCAAACCCTCATGGCAGGCACAGAGGAACATCTACAGAGAAACTCAAAATCCTCCAATTGCCCTCTTTCTCCAAATACAATAGCAATGTTGGCAAGATCAACAGGCCGACCATCTGCAACTATGGCAAGGCCATTCAATCTATTTTCTCCTTCACTGCCAACAACACCTGCACACACCTTAATATCAGTGAAGGTCGACAACCCCTCCTCCCATGGTTCATGGCATCCTGTTCCCAACATCTGCTTCAATACCTGTATCATTCATGTCCCACCTGCACATACTTTTATATCAGAGTAAAGGTGGACCACCCCACCCCTTTGGTCCATGGCATTCTGTTTCCAATATCTGCTTCACAGCCTGCATCATTCATGTCCCACTTTATCAACATCTTTATACCATAGTAAAAGTTGACTTCGACATCTACCCATCCTTTTACCAAAAGAATATCTTTAGGGACTCTACAATCCTCCAAGTGAATCCTAGCCATTTGATCCTTTGAAAACTGAGCGTTGATAGGGGAAACAATACTGCGATCCTGCTCTTTTCAGCAACTTCGCGTTTGTGATCTTTTCTTGCCAATCAATGCTGAGCTTTCTTTTTAGGCATTGCACAGGAAAGTGATCTAACTGTTTCTCCTAGTATGTATTTAGTATGGTGAGTGCAAATAGCCATGTGGTTATTATCTTTGCACCCATGGCATCTCTGTTACTGACAATGGACTGGGTCAATGATAACAGACTGCAGGTTTGTTAAGATCCACTATATGTAGATAACCTTTATGAATCTTAATAACTGGCATGATTTCTCCATTTCAACAGGTTTGTTTCTTCAGATTTATTGTCAGGGCCCAAGTTACAAGCTAGAGAATGATTCAAAAAGTTCTAGAGTTCATGTATTCATGAAGTTTTAGAGTTCTTGTACTCTGGTATTCATGAAGTTTTAGTTTGTGCATTCATTTTTAATTAAGGTTCTGGAATTTTTGTATTCACAAAGTTCTGTAGTTCATGAATCTGTTAAGCTCTGGAGTTCACATATTATGATGCTCTTGAATTCTTGTACTCATTTCCGTTCAAGTTCTGGACTTCATGTATTCACAAAATTCTGGAATTCTTGTAGTCATGAAGTTCTGAGTTCATATATTCATTTTCTTTTGGACAAAGTTGTGGAATTTGTGTATTCATGAAGTTGTTGAATTCATGTATTCACAAAGTTGTGGATTGTTGCGCACGTAAAAAAATCTCTTAGCAGTTGGAAATCGAAAAGAGTAGCCTAATGGTGCTGCCAGGGCAAAGTTTGGAGTTAAAAATGTACCCAAAGTATTTTAGGATCTTCGCCGGTGCTACAGAGCCTGTGCACTGCGCTGAGCTTCTTCTGACTCAGACTTGAGTTAGAAATAGAACCGAGCACTTATGGGTTGCTACCCGTGTGCCACGATATTGATCCGTTGTCAAAACGCTCAAACTCTTCAAACGAAGTTCTGGAATTCATGTAATCATGAAGTTCTGGAGGCCTTGTAATCACTGAGTTGGTTTCCAACTGTATATGATGCAGCAGAATTGCTTCAGGAATAATTTTACTTTGTCATTTACTAACTGTGTCCTAATATATCCGAGTGCCATAATGCAGAAAATGGTAATATGACTTCTCTCCTATCCCACAGGTTACCAGAGTCCCAAAATCCAAAAAGCAGGCCTGTTTTTCAGTAATTTAGGATAAAGGCATCACCTCCATTCACACATGCAACTATCCTGATGGATCTAGCCAACAACAATGGCAGTGTTTATATGCTTTTGTCTTCTCTCTCCAAACAGGGTAAAGGTTCCATACATTCACACCAAGTCTATCAATCCCTTGTTATCACTTATGCTGCTGAATCCTCCATGATGCAAATCATCATCAAAAGCTGTGCTGTCTGCTGTGGTCAATCATGCCTCTCCACAATCTGCCATCTTCAACAACATGTATCAGTTTATATGCTGACATGACACCCGCTTCCTGCAACTCCATATAACATATTCCAACTTCCTTCTCGCCACATGACCAGAAGATGATGACTGCCTACTTCTGATGGTTGTGATAAGCTGTCTTTAAGCCCTCACTTCTTTTCAAAACATCTGTGTTAGAATTTTTAGCTGTGAAAGAAATTCTGAGAATTCTTCTAAAAAATCACATCTCCGAGGCCTCAAGAAATCGTCTAGCTTGTTAATTAATTGTCCAGGATCCGCAGCCGTATTTTAGAACTGGCTCTTTATAGCATGCAGGAATTCTTTTTCTAACCTCCAGTGACAGTCTTTTGCGTAAAAGGTTCTTCTGACAAAACGCAGTTTTGGCCTGTACTATTCTGTTCTCTCACTGTGTGACTGTGACACATCATCCATCGGACATTATTCACTTATGTCACTAATTCTCTAAATGTGCAGCATAACTGGGGCAAGGAGTTTCAACTGTTCTCACGGCTTTCAGACAGTGAATTCAGAGTCAATAGTGGACACATTGTAGCCAACCTCCAATGTGGAGATGGCACAATTTTATTTATTATTGTTTAAATGCGAAGAGAATTGACTGCCTGGCCTGTATCAGAAAGAGACAATCTACATTCTAAAGGTCACCTCATGAGAAGAAGAAAACTGAAGCCCATTGTGACAGTAGGACAGTTGGAGGCGAGAAGAGGCAGAGGAAGACAGAGAGAAAGGATGCTGGACAATCTGACAACATGGTATGGATGATCATCTTTATTAGAGTTGACTGAAAGTGCACAAGATAGAAGGATGTTGAGGGACATGACTACCAATGCCAAAACGCATGAGCTTTAAAAAGATTGTCTTAATGGCAGCAAACACTAATTTAAAAATAGAAAATGCCAGCTATAGAAGTTCTCAAAGGACTCCAAAGCAAAATTCAAAAAGGACTTTTGCAATGGACTACATCCTGGGTATATGAATTTGGCCAAGTTCTATTAGACAAGAAATGCCTATCATACTACCACAGCCAACCAAAAAAATAGCCAAAGCAATACTGAGAAAGGACAGACCTACTGAATGGAATATGTACTGGGTATGTCGGCGTCTGTGGCTTAGGTGTTACGAATGCGCTTCGTAATGTCATGGTGCCTGGTTTGACCTCAGCAGCTTCGTAATGTCATGGTGCCTGGTTTGACCACAGCAGCTTCGTAATGTCATGGTGCCTGGTTTGACCTCAGCAGCTTCGTAATGTCATGGTGCCTGGTTTGACCACAGCAGCTTCGTAATGTCATGGTGCCTGGTTTGACCACAGCAGCTTCGTAATGTCATGGTGCCTGGTTTGACCACAGCAGCTTCGTAATGTCATGGTGCCTGGTTTGACCACAGCAGCTTCGTAATGTCATGGTGCCTGGTTTGACCACAGCAGCTTCGTAATGTCATGGTGCCTGGTTTGACCACAGCAGCTTCGTAATGTCATGGTGCCTGGTTTGACCACAGCAGCTTCGTAATGTCATGGTGCCTGGTTTGACCACAGCAGCTTCGTAATGTCATGGTGCCTGGTTTGACCACAGCAGCTTCGTAATGTCATGGTGCCTGGTTTGACCACAGCAGCTTCGTAATGTCATGGTGCCTGGTTTGACCTCAGCAGCTTCGTAATGTCATGGTGCCTGGTTTGACCACAGCAGCTTCGTAATGTCATGGTGCCTGGTTTGACCACAGCAGCTTCGTAATGTCATGGTGCCTGGTTTGACCTCAGCAGCTTCGTAATGTCATGGTGCCTGGTTTGACCACAGCAGCTTCGTAATGTCATGGTGCCTGGTTTGACCACAGCAGCTTCGTAATGTCATGGTGCCTGGTTTGACCACAGCAGCTTCGTAATGTCATGGTGCCTGGTTTGACCACAGCAGCTTCGTAATGTCATGGTGCCTGGTTTGACCTCAGCAGCTTCGTAATGTCATGGTGCCTGGTTTGACCACAGCAGCTTCGTAATGTCATGGTGCCTGGTTTGACCACAGCAGCTTCGTAATGTCATGGTGCCTGGTTTGACCACAGCAGCTTCGTAATGTCATGGTGCCTGGTTTGACCTCAGCAGCTTCGTAATGTCATGGTGCCTGGTTTGACCACAGCAGCTTCGTAATGTCATGGTGCCTGGTTTGACCACAGCAGCTTCGTAATGTCATGGTGCCTGGTTTGACCACAGCAGCTT